CAAATCTGCTCCGAAAGCGAAGGATGTTGGGCCCAGAAACAAGCAAACCGCCTGAGACATCCCCACAAAATGGCCGCGAACGAGCCCGTGCAACCACCCCTGGCGGCTCCCCTTAGGGGTGCTGAAATGAGCGCCCGCTGAGACATCCTCCAAATCTGCTCCAAGCGAAGGATGTTGGGCCTAGAAACCAGGCAAACCGCCGGAGACATCCCCACAAAATGGCCGCGAACGAGCCCGTGCAACCACCCCTGGCGGCTCCCCTTAGGGGTGCTGGGAATGAGCGCCTCGCTCGAGACATCCTCCAAATCTGCTCCGAAAGCGAAGGATGTTGGGCACAGAAACAGGCAAACCGCCTGAGACATCCCCACAAAATGGCCGCGAACGAGCCCGTGCAACCACCCCTGGCGGCCCCCCTTAGGGGCGCTGAAATGAGCGCCTCGCTCGAGACATCCTCCAAATCTGCTCCGAAAGCGAAGGATGTTGGGCGCAGAAACAGGCAAACCGCCTGAGACATCCCCACAAAATGGCCGCGAACGAGCCCGTGCAACCACCCCTGGCGGCTCCCCTTAGGGGGGCTGAGTATGAGTAAGTCTGTGTATGAGTAAGTCTGTGTATGTGTACGTCTGGGTATGACTAATACTGTGTATGAGTAAGTCTGTGTATGAGTAAGTCTGTATATGAGTATGTCTGAGTGTGAGTAAGTCTGAGTCTGAGTAGGTCTGAGTATGAGTAAGTATGAGTATGAGTAAGTCTGTGTATGAGCAAGTCTGAGTATGTCCGACAAGAGGGGACGAGAAAAGAGGAGGAGGAAGAAGGAGGAGGAGTAGGAGGCGTCCAAGTAATATTTCATCTGTCGTGGAGCTCCCCATATAGTGGGGCCGAAACCATTGGACCTGTCCGCCCAGAGAATGTTAGGCGCAAGAGCTTCGAATAATTAACGGGCTTCAGTTGAAGTGTGACGGTTCTGGACAACAATTCTAACTGCGAATGAAATTGGAGTCCGTGAATGACGCCTCAGTAGTACCGTTTGATGCAGCGTCTGTTGGCATGAGCCTGGGGCATCATGGTGGCCTCCTGAAACCTACTGTGGCTTCCTGGGGTCTGCCAGGAGCCCTGGGGACCTCCTGGGACTTACTCGAAGGAGTATTCGTTGCCCCATGAATGATGAACGACATAGCAAAGAACTCGTACATTACCCCCAAAAAGCTTGAGCAAAGGAGAAGGGCAATATATAGGAACACGCGTAAAACACCAAGGACTCGTGCCCCAGGAGAGGCCCAATACATAGGAACATGAGTACAACATTTAGGATTGTGTACACAGGAGAAGGACCATCTATAGAAACATACGTAGAACATCAAAGACTCGTGCTCCAGGTGAGGCCCAATCGATAGGAGCATACGTAAAACACATGGGATTGGAGCCACTCCTGTTGCCTTCTGAGGCCTCCTGCTCCTGGGGCCTCTCGGGGCCTCCTGTTGCCTTCCGAGGCCTCTTGGCGCTTCCTGTTGCCTCCTGGGGCCTCCTGTGGTTTCCTGAAGCCTTCTGGAGCTTCCTGGGGCCTCCTGGAGCCTCTTGGGACATCCTGTGGCCTCTTGAGTCTTTCTGTGGCCTCCTGATGCCTCCTGGGACCTCATGTGGTCTCCTGGAGCCTCCTGGAGCCTGTTGGAGCCTCCTGTGGCATCCTGAGAAGAATCTGCGCCCACGAGCCTGGCCACCAAAACTAGCAAACCGATCGAGACCTCCTCAAAATCTGGCCCACCTGGGGGGTGAAAATGAGCGCCTCGCTCGAGACACTCTCGCCTCCTCCAAATATTGATCCGTCGATCAAGCGGAGGATGTTTGGGCACAGAAAAACAGGTCAACCGCCCTGGAGACTATCCCACACAATGCCTTTCGCGAACGAGCCCGTGTCAACACACACCTGGCGGCTCCCTTTAGGTGTGGGTGCTGAAAATGAGCGACTTCGCTCGAGTACATCCTCCAAATCTGCTCGACAGCGAAGGAAAGGATGTTGGGCACAGAAACTTAGGCAAACGCCCTGAGACAATCCCGAAAAAATGGCAAGCGAAACGAGCCCGTGCAACCACCCCTGGCGGCTCCCTTTAGTGGTGCTGAAATGAGCGCCTCGCTCGAGACATCCTCCAAATCTGCTCCGAAAGCGAAGGATGTTTGGGCCAGAAACAGGCAAACCGCCTGAGAAATCCCCACAAAATGGCCGCGAACGAGCCCGTGCAACCACCCCTGGCGGCTCCCCTTAGGGGTTCTGAAATGAGCGCCTCGCTCGAGACATCCTCCAAATCTGTTCCGAAAGCGAAGGATGTTGGGCACAGAAACAGGCAAACCGCCTGTTGTGAAGACATCCCACAAAAATGGCCGCAATGGCGCGAACGAGCCCGTTGCTGCAAACCACCCCTGGCCGGACTTCCCCTTGGGGTGCTGAAATTGAACGCTCGCTCGAGAATCCTTCCAAATCTTTGCCGAAAGCGAAGGTGTTTGGCACAGAAACAGGCAAACCGCCTGAGAACATCCCCACAAAATGGCGGCGAAGAGGCCCGTGCAACACCCCTGGCGGCTCCCCTTAGGGGTGCTGAAATGAGCGCCTCGCTCGAGACATCCTCCAAATCTGCTCCGAAAGCGAAGGATGGGGGGCACAGAAACAGGCAAACCGCCTGAGACATCCCCACAAAATGGCCGCGAACGAGCCCGTGCAACCACCCCTGGCGGCTCCCCTTAGGGGTGCTGAAACCAGCGCCCCGCCTGAGACATCCTCACAATCTGGGTATGAGTAAGTCTGAGTATGAGTAATACTGTGTATGAGTAAGTCTGGTATGAGTAAGTCTGTGTATGAGTACGTCTGGGTGTGAGTAAGTCTGTGTATGAGTAAGTCTGTGTATGAGTAAATCTGTATATGAGTATGTCTGAGTGTGAGTAAGTCTGAGTATGAGTAGGTCTGAGTATGAGTAAGTCTGAGTATGAGTAAGTCTGTGCATGAGCAAGTCTGAGTATGTCCGACAGGAGGGGAGGAGAAAAGAGGAGGAGGAAGGAGGAGGAGGAGGAGGAGTAGGAGGCGTCCAAGTAATAACAAGAACCCCATCTTAGGATATGGGGAATAACAAGAACCCCATCTTAGGATATGGGGAATAAAGCATGAGATGCACATATGGGGAACTCCACGCAGTGAGTAATTCTTTCATCACGTCCCTTGGACCACCTCGTTTCCTAACATGCCTCGGGGCGTGATGCGCTAACCCACCTTTTCCTGGTCCTGATCTTCGGCGCGCCCGAACAGGCAGGCTTGGGAGGTCGCTCTCATGCGTCCCGGATTTCTCTCGCGTTCTGCAGGCGCTTTGGAACCTCCGCGGCGCCCGCTACTTCCTCCAGACCTGCCAGCTCTCTGAGATTCCCGACTGATTCCAAAGGCTTGCGCCATGGCGCTGCCCCCCAGAAGAAGATATGTGCGACTTACGATTCCGCATGTTTTGTTCACAAGCTTTCTTTGGTGTTGGTTGTCGTTTCGAAAAGACAGTCCCTACATCCTTCTCCTCTCCCTCCTCCTTCCTTCCATCCCTGCTTCTGCCCTGCATATGCCCTCATCTTATCACCATCATGCCACCCGCACCCGATTCGGCACACCACTCACACGTTTCGTGGCCCCATAGTGGGAACTCCACCGGAGACCCCAGCGGCAGGGTCCGCATAGATTCCCCGCACCCGATTTAGCATGCCCCTTCACACGCTTTGTGGGCCTATCGGGGGTTCCACCGACGGCCCCAGCGGCAGGGTCTGCATGGCGTACTCGCACCCGATTCGGCACACCCTGCACACGTTTCGTGGCCCCATAGCGGGAGCTTCACCGAAGGCCCCAGCGGCAGGGTCCGCATGGCGTACCCGCACCCGAATCGGCACACCACTCACACGTTTCGTGGCCTCGAAAGGATTTCCACCGAAGGCCCCAGCGGCAGGGTCCGCATAGCGTACCCGCACCCGATTCGGCACACCCCTCACACGTTTCGTGGCCCCATAGTGGAAGCTCCACCGAAGGCCCCCGCGGCAGGGTCCGCATGGCGTACCCGCGCCCGATTCGGCACACCCCGCACTCGTTTCGTGGCCCCATGCGGCGCTCCGCCAGATGCCAGAGCGGCAGGGTCTGCATGGCACGCTCGCAATCGATTCAGCACACCTCGGACGTTTCGTGGCCCTGAAGGAGCCTCCACCGAAGGCCCCGACGGCAGGGTCCGCATGGCGTGCCCGCATCCGATTCGGCACGTTCCTTCACACGTTTCGTGGCCCCGAGGGGAGTTCCACCGAAGGACCTGGCGGCAGGGTCCGCATGGCGTACCCGCCGCACCCGATTCAGCACACCCCTCGCACGCTGCGTGGGCCCGTAGGGATCACCACCGAAGGCCCCAGCGGCAGGGTCCGCATGGCGTACCCGCGTCCGATTCGGCCCACCCCGCACACGTTTCGTGGCCCCATGCGGAGCTCTACCGAAAGGCCCCCGCGGCAGGGTCCGCATGACGTACCCGCACCCGAATCGGCACACCCCTCACACGTTTCGTGGCCCCATAGTGGGAGCTCCACTGGAGACCCCAGCGGCAAGGTCCGCATATATTCCCCGCACCCGGTTCGGCACACCCCTTTCACGTTTCGTGGCCCCGAAGGGAGCTCCACCGAAGCCCCAGCGGCAGTGTCCGCATAGCGTACCCTTGCCCGATTCGGCACACCCCTTCCGGCGAGATCACTTTCTCACGACTGTAGAAGCGATGGCAACGGCGGCTGCAAACCATGCGTTCAACCACTTCTGCGGCTGCAAAGCCGAGAGAAGAGGGAGGATGCAGGAGGGAGGAGAGAGTAGGGAGGAGGGAGAGGATTGTAGTGTAGCTCCGATGTCCTGAGGTGTTTTTGTGTAGGGTGGGGCACTTCAGCTTCTTCCCATCCCTGCTCGTCCTCGATGGTGATAATAACGTGGTCTCGCCCCTGCTCCCGCGGCTGGCGAGGGCGCCCAGTGCAGGGTCGCGGCGGACGAGCAGCTGGACGAGGCGGTCTTCGTCCTGCGCGACGGGCTGGACCCACCCTCCAAACCCTGAAGGGTGCGTCGCCCACGGCTGGGAGTCTTGCGGCTGGAGGAGGAGGGACGCCAAGGGAAAGGAATGATGAGGAGACAAGGAGCCCGCCGTAGACGTCGAATTTTCGTCAAAGCAATGTGAGTGGGTCGCGGGTGGGTCGCGGGGTGGGTCTCCATGGTGGCGCGCGGATGGGTCGCGGGCGGGTCGTGGGCGAGGACAGCAACATATCTGCCTGCAGGACGTAGCAGATCGCAGAGGCCATCACCGCGACACACTAAGCACAAGTTCCTGACCGTACTTCATTTCGAGGTCGGGACGCAGCCGCTGGAGGCGGTGCTGAGTTCTGAGATCGCCCTGGGCTGCCCCGAGGGCCCGTCGAGGCCAGCCTGGGCCTCCGAGGGGCTGCCTGCCGGCAGACCTGGGCTTTGCCAGTTCGCGGCTCCGGAGCGCGCGTGCATTTATGGCGGTCTCCATGCCCGGCGTGGTTTCTGTCAGGTGCGCCTCGTCGGGGGCGTTCTGGGGAGGCCGGAATTGTCCCGATCGGCCGCTCGAGGCCCGAGTTATGGGCCAAAACGCCAGTTAAGGCGGCAATGTGAGTCAGGGCTACCGGGGGTCAGCCAATCCCCTCCTGATTCCTGCTGGCTGATTTGCGCGTGGGAGCCACGCGGAGCCGATCCTTTTTTCGCCGTTTGGTGGAGTTGGGCCGAGGAACTAAGTGCCATGCGGCCAGCCAGGCACACCGATCCTGACGTCGTCTTGGTCGTCGTCGTCGTCCGCAGCGGGTGGACAGGATACACCTGCTTCCATGACACATGTGTGTCTCTTTTCTTTATATATATAGACATATCTATATATCTATCTATCTATCTATCTATCTATCTATCTATCTATCTATCTATCTATCTATCTATATATCTATCATTTTATCTATTTATCTATCTATCGATCCGTCCATCTATGTATCTATCTATATATTTATCTATCTATCTATATATGTATATATATATATATATATCTATCTATCTATATATATATATATCTATCTATCTATCTATATATCTATATATATCTATCTATCTATCTATCTATCTATCTATCTATCTATCTATCTATATATGTATATCTTTCTATCTATATATATATCCATCTATCAATCAATATATCTATCAATCTATATATCTATATATATATATCTACATATATATATATATCTATCTATCTATATATATATAGATCTATCGATCTATCTATCTATCTATATATATATCTATCTATCTATCTATATATATGTCTATCTATCTATCTATCTATCTATCTATCTATCTATCTATATATATACACATATCTATCTATATATCTATATATCTATCTATCGATCTATCTATCTATCTATCTATCTATATATCTATCTATCTATCGATATATCAATCTATGTATATCGATCATATATATCTACCGACCATACATATGTATATACGTATATGTCTACCTACCTATATATATATATATATATCTATATATATCTATATCTATATCTATCTATCTATCTATCCATCTATCTATCTATAAATATATATGTAAATATCAATCTATCTATCTATCTATCTATCTATCTATATGTGTGTATGTGTGGAATCGTCTAGGGCGCCCCTGCCAGGCACGGCCCGTCGGCTGTTCGACCGTGTTGGCGCTCGCCTTCGCCGCTGACCTCAAAAGTGTGCGCAGTGATTCGCGATGTTGAATCTAATTCGTGTGGACGCCCCGTACTTGCTGACTCACGACTGTGGTGCCACATCGCCGGCGGAGATCAGTGTGTGTATGTGTGATGTCTCGAATTGATGGGGCCAGTTGTCGTTGTTACCGGTGCTGATTCGCGATGAGTCGGTGGAAAGGGTGGGTGAATACATTTCTCCTAATGTGTGTGTGTGTGCGGGTGTGTATGTATGTGTTCGCAGTTTTGTTCTGGATATAACTAGCCAAAGCGCGCAGCCTGGTTGTACTGCAAGGGGGCCGTCGCAAACATAATCGTATGTGTACGCATTACAGACTAAGAGCTATGCAGAGGGAGTGAGAGAGACAGAGACAGAGAGAGAGAGACCCTACAGTTCGTTTTGAAAAATGGGGGAGGGGGACAGCCAATCATCTCACAGGCCTTGTGCACCCCTGGCAAGCGGGGGTCGGTGGATACACCGCGTCTTCGATGTTGTCGAGGTGTCTTTCGACGTGCTCGAGAGCCAACCCCTCCCTGTCCCCTTCGCTGAGGTGGTCCTCTTTGACGAGGGTGATGTCTTGTGCGCGCTGCGGCGACTCCGCCGGAGTCGTGGGGTTGGCCCTGGTGGTCTTCCTTCTGAGGTCTTGCAGGCTCGAGGCGAGGTCCCCGCTCGCAAGCTCACCCGCTGTATCGCCGCGTGGCCGATGAGGAATGCTAGCCAGTGCGCTGGGCAGGAGGGCGCCTCGCAGAGATTTTCAACCAGAAGGCCCCTGCGACGATCCAGATGAGTACAGAGGCATCCTGTTGGAGGAAAACGTAACCAAAGGCATGAAGGAGGTCCTCGCGCCCTTCGTCGTGTTCGATTCGTACAGCGCCAGCATGCTTGATAGCCAGTTCGGCGCTGTCGGCGGTCGCGGCACTGACATGGCGGCATTCCTTCTGCAGTGCTTCATGGCCTACTGCGACCAGCGTTCGCTATCATACTTCGTGCTTTTTGTCGACCTTGTGAAAATCTTGGACAAAATCCTCCGGGAGATCACTGTCGGCATCCCTGGACATGTGGCCGACCTGTACCAGTACTTGCGCGATCGAGGCCTCACGCACGCGCAGGCAATGTGGGCAATGTGGGTTGCCCAGTGGGTTGGCCGCCACCGCTCACAATTCCTCCGCTGGGGGATGAGCCTGAAGATCGTGCGCTTGCTGTGTAACTTGCACGCGGTCTCGTGGGTCACTGTCGGCTGCTTCGATACCGCTCCCGCAGCGCTGAAAGGTGGCCACCAAGGTTGTCAGAGTGAGGGGGCCGAACGGTCATTCATTGTCCCTGAGTGCATGGCTGAAGTGGGGTTTGGTGACCATTGCGTTTTTCAATTGAAGTGCTTCCCCTGGGGCTCGCACCCTATTTTTAATCAGGGAAAGTCTTCCTCCTCAAACTGGGCCCCTGGCCCCCGAGTTACAACAACAACAACGGCTCTCGCCTGAGACCTTCTCACAGTGTATTCCCAATCGCGCTCTCGCGCGGGACTTCCTCACAGTTCATGTATGCATCGCGCCCTCGCTTGGGATTTCCTCGCAATTTATTCAGACGATGCGCCCTCGGCGCTCAGGAATCACGCTCTCGCTGTGGCTGTTCTCACCATTTACTTGGGAGTCGCGCTATCGCTCGAGACTTCCTCGCGGTTCATGCAGGACCCACGCTGCAGCTGCTCGACCTCGTCGCCTTCCCGACCTGCCCGCGATGGGTCTGCCCACCCGATTTTGCCCGTCTGGTTCTCTCTCGTGCTCCATTCTTCTCCCTCCCCCTTCCACCCGTCCTCTCTTCCCTTGTTCTATGGGCTGCGCTAAATACGCGTGGCAGGTAAGGAAGATACACACCCAAGGGGGTACGATCAAAGACGACGAGGGCGGGTACCGAGGGTTGTGGATATACGTATTGACTGGCACGTGAGCAGATGGGAGCGAACAGTCTTAAACTGTTTTCCCATATCCTAAAATGGTGTTCTTGTTGTCACTTGGACGCCTCGTACTCCCTCTCCTTCCCCCCTCCCCTCGGATTTATTCATACTCAGACTTACCCATACCCAGACTTATTCATACTCAGACTTACTCACACCCAGACATACTCATACTCAGACCGATTCATACTCAGACTTACTCATACCCAGACGTACACATACACAGACTTACTCATACACAGACTTGCTCATACCCATACTTACTCATACCCAGACGTACTCATACACAGACCTACTCGTACACAGACTTACTCAGAACCAGACCTATTCATACTCAGACCTACCATACTCATACTTACTCAGACTTTGAGGCTGTCTCAGGCGGGGCGCTGGTTTCAGCACCCCTAAAGGTGAGCCGCCAGGGGGTATATCACGGGCCCGTTCGCGGCCAGTTCGTGGGGATGTCTCAGGTGGTTTGCGCGCTCTCATGCTCAACATCCTTGGCTTTCAGAACAGATTTTGAGGACTGTCGGGCGGGGCGCTGGTTTCAGCACCCCTGATGGGGCAGCTGCCAGGGGGTATATCACGGGCCCGTTCGCTGCCAGTTCGTGGGGATGTCTCAGGCGGCTTGTCCGTTTTCATGCCCAACATCCTTGGCTTTCAGAGCAGATTTTGAGGATGTCTCAGGCGGGGCGCTAGTTTCAGAACCCCTAGTGGGTATATCACGGGCCCGTTCGCGGCCAGTTTGTAACAATGTCTCATGCGGTTTGTTGGTTTTCATGCCCAACATCCTTGGCTTTCAAAGCAGAGTGTGAAGATATCTCAGGCGGGGCGCTGGTTTCAGCACCCCTAATGGGGCCGCCAGGGGGTATACCACGGGCCCGTTCGCGGCCAGCTTGTGGGGATGTCTCAGGCGGTTTGCCCGTTTTCATGCCCAGCATCCTTGGCTTTCAGAGCCGATTTTGAGGATGTCTCGGGCGGGGCGCTGATTTCAGCACCCCTAAGGGGGGCCGCCAGGGGGTATATCACGGGCCCGTTCGCGGCCAGTTAGTGGGGATGTCTCAGGCGGTTTGCTCGTTTTCATGCCCAGGGGATGTCTCAGGCGATTTGCTTGTCTTCAGGCCCAACATCCTTGGCTTTCAGAGTAGATTTTGAGGATGCTTCCAGCGGGGCGCTGGTTTCAGCCCGGCCTGGCAGCTGAGGAGGTGGAATGAATGGGAGTCTCATATTCAATCATATTCAAAGCTCACTCTGACTCATACTCATTCATTCGCATTCGGATTCACTCGTCTTCGTCGGCCCTGTCGCCCACGTGGACGCGCCAGTATAGTCAAGCGCTCACGAACAGACGCTCACTATAATTGACATAAAGCATGAGATGCACATATGGAGAGCTCCACGCAGTGAGTGATTGCGCTGTTGTTGTTGTCGTTGTTGTTGTAGTTGTAGTTGTAGTTGTTGTTGTTGTTGTTGTTGTTGTTGTTGTTGTTTGTCCTCGTCCCACCCGCGACCCACCCGCGACCCACCCCGCGACCCACCCGCGACCCACCCCGCGACCCATCCCCGACCCACCCGCGACCCCCGCGCGACCCACTTGCGACCCACCCCGCGACCCACCCGCGACCCACCCGCAACCCATCCGCGACCCAACAGCGACCCACCCGCGACCCACCTGCGACCCACCCGCGACCCATTTGCGACCCACCCGCGACCTACCCGCGACCTGCCCATATTGGTTTGACGAAAAGATCGGCGCCTGCGGCGGCCTCGTTGTATAATTTGTGAAACTTCGGCGCTGGTGGCGGTGTTCTCCAGAATCTTGCAAACTGCCGACGTCACCTCCGGCCCCTCACTCTTATCCGCATCTGCGGGGTGCTACGTATTTATGGCGCTGCGGTCTTCACTAGTAGATTTGCTTCGGCCATGCAGCTCATTATTGAGGAACTCGCCGACGCCAGCCTCACAGTGAAGCTGCGGCAAGGCCCTATGGGCTTCTGGGATGCCACCTCGCTTGCTGTTGCACCTTCACCTCCCGATGATGAGGCATTCTTGGCGTGCGCGTCGAATTCCGCGCGCCTCGACAACGTCATTGAGACGATGCTCGAGGTCATCTCTTCCGTCTATGGGCTCTTTGCTCTTGAGATGAGTGTCGATCCGAAGAAGGGTGAGGCTTTCTTGAAGTACCGAGGCGGTGGTTGCACGGCTGCTCGCGCCGCACGCCCAATTGGATCTCGCGGCGAGATGCTGCTGCGCATCCCCGGAGCCGACCCGCCGACCTTCGTGCGTGTCGTGAACCAGTACAAGCATCTTGACAGTGTTGTCACCGACGTGGGCAATCTCCTCGTCGATGCAAAACACAGGAAGTCCGACGCCATGCAGGCTTATACCCCTGTGTGCAGTAAGATCCTCGGCTCGTCGGCGGTGCCCGTGCCGCTGAAGATATAGTTTGTACGGTCGCTCATCCCCTCTCGCCTGCTATACTCCAGTCACCTCATCGTGCCGCGCCTCCGCTATCTGAAGGAGCTGAACGAGGTGTACATGCGCGTGATTCGCCGCGTCTTCTGCTGCCCCAAGTTCGGCCCTGCAGAGCCTGACAACGCCGTACGCTTGCGCGCCAAGGTCCCGACTGTGGATTGTCTGCTGTGCCGAGCGCGACTGTGGTTTCTTGGCCGCCTGGACCGTCGGCAACCTCCTGGGGCGATCGCTCTTCTGTCCACTAGGTGGATGGGGCGCCCCCTCCGTTGGGTCGAGCTCATTCGCACGAACCTCTCGCGGCTGCGCTCCACGGTGGCGCTGTGCTATTCGATGCCAGATCCTGCCAGTACCATCCCGTGGTGTCGTATGATGATGGAGGAGCTAGACTGCTGGGCAGCGGCCATCAACAGCGTCTATTTCACCGCTTCTTTTGCGGACACCCCTCGGTGCCCAGAATGCGGGAAACGCTTCCCCACGTCACGTGCATTAGGCAGCCACCGCCGGATTCAGGACCGAATCCTGGCACCTCGACGATTTTTTTCCTCAGCCTCGGGTGTGTGTCCGCAATGCCGCACAGATGTTAAATCTCGGCTTCGCTGCTAACTCACTTATGTGAAACTAGCCGCAAGCGATGTCGGGATGCTATCCGCAATGGCTCCGTCTCGTCGAGGCCAAAGTTGCCGAGCTCGGTTCCCTGGACAATGCTGCCCGCTTTTCTGCCCGCCGTGCCGGGCACAGTCACGACCTAGCTGTTGGCGCGGCGCTCCGTGCCGACGGTCGGGTTGTCGGGCGCGCCTCCCGCTGAACATATCACGGTCGCGCTCCTGTTGTACAGGGTTTTCTTGACGCGTTCATCGCCATTGGTCCAACCAAAAATGTACATTCATATCTATACTATAAGTGTTCATGTATATGTGCAGGTCCTATATATATAATATCAGAGAAGGGGCCGAACGGTCATTCATTGTCCCTGGGTGCGTGGCTGAAGTGGGGATCCGTGGCGAGGATTCTGTTTGTTGCATTGTTGTTGGTGTTGTTGAATGTGAATTACCTAACAGTTATCATTGTTGAACCCCCCCAGGCGCTTTGACGATCTCGCCTCGGCGCCGGCTACATTTTCATTGAAAATGAGGCTCACACTCGAGCGGATTGGGGGGGCGCCCAAACCGCCCCCCCAACAACAACACCGCTCCCGCTTGAGACTTCCTCCTTTTTTCCTCAGGGCCAGTGCTCTTGCTCGCCGCCGACAGCCGGCGTCCCAACAAAACCAGCGCTACTGCTCGAGACTTCCTCCCGTTTTTACCTCGGGCTGGCGCGCTACTCTTTCTCTCATCGGCGCCGGCCTCAGCAACAACAACGCCTCCGCTCGACATTTCTTCCCTTTTCCCCCATGTCCTAGGAAGGGGTTCTTGTTATTACTTGGGCCGCGCGGAACACAGGAAGGAAGGAAAAAGGAAAGAAGGAAAACACCTCCCACCGTCATGCCATTATTCTTTCTCTGACTCGCTCACATGTAGACTCACTCATACTCAGACTCAGTCATACTCAGATGCACTCGCTCCGAGATTTCTGATACTCAGGTTTCTCATGCTCGGGATCACTCATATACAGACTCACTCGCACTTCGAATCGCTTCTCATATTCAAGGTTAATCATATTTAGGTCACTCACACACACTCACACTCACACTCACTCAGACTCAAAATCATATTCACTCACACCCAGACTCACTCACACTAAGACTCACTCATACTCTGCCTCGCTCTTTCCCGCTCAGACTTAGCCACACCACTTTCGCGATCAGACTCAAACACACGTTGTGTTGATGTCTCAGGCGAGGTGTTGGTTTCAGCACTCCCAGGGGGGGGCGCCACGGGATATCTCACGGGTCCGTTCGCGCCCAGATTGGGGGGATGTCTCAGGCGGTTTGCCTGTTTGGGTGGTCAACATCCTTCTCTTCCAGAGCAGTTTCCGAGGATGTCTCAGGCGAGGTGCTTTCAGCACGCCCAGGGGGGGCCGCCAGGGGGTACCCCACGGGCCCGTTCGCGCCCAGATTGAGGGAATGTCTCAGGCCGTTTGCATGTTTGGGTGCTCGACAGCCTTCTCTTTCGGAGAGCAGTTTCCGAGGATGTCTCAGGCGATGCGTTGGCTTCAGCACTCCCAAGGGGAGGACGGAAGGGGGTATCTCACGGGCCCGTTCGCACCCAGAAAGGGGGATGTCTCAGGCGGTTTGCCTGTGTGGGTGTTCAACGTCTTTCTCTTTAGGAGCAGTTCCCGAGGATGTCTCAGGCGAGGCGCTTGTTTCAGCACTCCCAAGGGGGCCGCCAGGGGGTATCTCACGGGCCCGTTCGCGCCCAATTTTGGGGGGATGTCTCAGGCCATTTGCATGATTTGTGTGCTCAACAGCTTTCTCTTTCGGAGAGCAGTTTCCGAGGATGTCTCATGCGAGGTGTTGGTTTCAGCACTCCCAAGGGGGGCCGCCAGGGGGTGTCTCACGGGCCCGTTCGCGCCCAAATTGGGGGGATGTCTCAGGCCGTTTGCATGCTTGGGTGCTCAACAGCCTTCTCTTTCGAAGCAGTTTCCGAGGATGTCTCAGGCGAGGTGCTTGTTGCAGCATTCCCAAGGGGGGACGCTAGGGGGTATCTCAAAGGCCCGTTCGCACCCAGATTGGGGGGATGTCTCATGCGGTTTGCTTGTTTGGGTGGTCAACATCCTTCTCTTTCGGAGCAGTTTTCGGCGCCCGGGTAGGTGTTCAGAAGGAAAGAAGAAGAAGAACGAGGAGGAGAACAATGAGGAGGAGGAACAAAGGAGGGCGCAACTCGTAAAAGTCGTCGTGGCCGTCGGCGTCTCTCTCGGCTTCGTCTTCCATATGAATTCGCTGACACTCAAATACTGACATGGGCAATGCCTTCTACCGAAGCATGCCATCACTATGGGATGCACATATGGGGACCTCCGCGTCGAGTAATTTACTCAAGGCGGTGTTCCTCCCCGCCGCCGAAAACCGCCGTCCCGACAAAACCAGCGGTCCCGCCCGAGTCTTCCTCCCGTTTTACGCTGGATAGCCTCTTTTGAATTGACGCCGCTCCCAGCAAGAACAACGCTCCCGCTCGAGGCTCCTCATTTTTTCCTCAGGACGGTGCTGTTCCTCGCCGCCGACAGCCCCCGTCCCGACAACACCACGGCTCCCGCTCGAGACTTCCCCCCTTCTTACTCAAGGCGGTGTCCCCCCTCGCCGCCGACAGCCGCCGTCCCAACAAAACCAGCGTTCCCGCTCGAGACTTCGTTTTGTTTTACGCTGGACTAGCACCCTACTCTCTTCAGCATTGGCGCCGCTCCCAGCAACAACGGCGGCCCTGCTCTAGACTTCCTCCCTTTCTATTCAGGGCCAGGTCCTTGCCTCACCGCCGACAGCCCGCATCCCCACCAAGGCAATTCTGTCGCTCGATGCTTCCTTGTGCTTTACCCTTGGCTGGGGCTCCATTGGCGGTCTCGCATCGGCGCAGCAAGGCGCGGGCATGCGTTTTCGAGGTGGGGTATATTGAAATTGTTGTCGCTTCGCGAATCCCCACCAGCCCATCCAGAAACGATGCCCAGAGGAATTGCCTCGATCAGAGAAGTGGGCAGCACACAGAGGAAGCCATTATGAGACATCTTGGGATATCTTGAGCCATCTTGGAGGTCATTTTGGGCTCTCCCAGACGCTCTTGGAGTCATCTTAATCCGTGCCCCCCCCCAAGAGGCCTCCATGTGGCTAAAACCTGTGTAGAATCAATGATTAGGCATTCTCGCCGAGGCCTCTTGGAGCATCTTGGGTGCATCTGGGGGGGCTCTTGGGGCCTCTTGGGGGTCTCTTGGGGGCCTCCGGGGGGCCTCTTGGGGGCCTCTTGGGGCCATTTTGGGGCCATCTTGGGACCTCTTGGGGCTTCCTGGGCGCTTCTTGGGGCCATCTTGGAGGGAGTCGATCAAACAAGAGGGGGGGGTGAATTAGCGCCCCCCCTCGGAAGCCCCTAAAATCGCCTCTTGGACCCCTCTTGGAACGCTCTTGGAGTGCTCTTGGGCGCTCTTGGGGCCGTCTTGGGGCTCTTTTGGGGCTCTCTTGGGGCCCTCTTGGGCCATCTTGGAGCCATCTCCAGGCCTCGGATGGCCATCGGAAGCGAAAAGGCGAGAAAGCAAAAATCATTGATTTTCCTTAGGTTTTGGGACGATTTTGGCCTCTTCGGGGCCTCCTTGGGGAGCTGTTTGGCCACTTGGAGTTATCTTGGGGCCGTCTTTGGGCTTCTTGGAACCATCTTAGGAGCCATCGTGAGCGATCTTGCGCTATCTTGAGCCATCTTGGAGCTCATCTTGGGTTCTCTGAGGCGCTCTTGGAGCCGTCTTGGGCCATCTTGGACGCTCTAACTACCCGCGGCCCCCCCCGTCCAGGTCCAGGGGAGGGGGTAGGGGGAGGGGTAAACCCCTCCCCAAGGGGGAAGAGGGAGGGGTGGAAGAGGATCTGCTCTAGACCACCTACGCCCAGAGGGCTGGTGGGATTCCTCGGGGGAGGCGTTTGCAAGACCTCATTGGACGTGAGATCTGGGAATGGGAACCACGGGCCCCGCTATAGAACAAGAGTCCCCCATCATAGGGATGGTTCACATGATGTTCGCATGTTTGTATGGAAACATCGCGCATGAGGGTAACATGATTGTTGTTGTTGCTCTTTGTTGTCGTCATCCCACCCGCGACCCACCCGCGACCCAGCCCGCGACCGAACCCCGCGACCCGTCCCGCGACCCACCCCGCGACCCACCCGCGACCCAACCCGCAACCCACCGCGCGACCCACTAGCGACCCACCCGCCACCCACCCCGCGACCTGCCCGCGACCCACTCAGCGACCCATCCGCGACCCGCCCGCGATCCACCCGCGACCCACCCGCGACCCACCCGCGACCCACCCGCGACATACCCACACTGGTTTAACCAAGA